CCTCCCACCAGAGCAGGTTGCTCAAGGCTTTAGCCAACCTGGCTGTGAACACTGCCAGGGTTGGGGCAGCCACAGCCTCCCTGGGCAACCTGTAGCAGTGTCTCACCACCCTCACAGGGAAAACTTCTTCCTGATATCTAATCTAAATTTCCCCTCTTTCAGGTTCTCTCCATTGCTGCTTATCCTGTCACTGCAGCTCCTAACAGATCTCTCAAAACACCTCTCACAAATATTGCCCACTGCTTTCTCAAGAGTCACAAAATCACAGAATAATCAGAGTCCAACTCCTGTTCCTGCCCATAACACCCTAACAACCCACCCTGTACCTGTGAGTGTTGACCAAACACTCCTTGAGCTTGCTCTGTCAGCCTTGGGGCCATAACCACTGCCCTGGGAGCTGTTCAGTGCCCAGACACCTCTAGGGGAAAAACCATTTTCTAATATTCAAACTAAACCTCCCCTGACACAACTTCAGACCATTCATTCCTTCAGGCCCTGTCACTGGTCACAGAGAGCAGAGGTCAGTGCTGCCCCTGCTCTGCCCCTCAGGAGGAAGCTGTATACAGCAATAAGGTCTCTCCTGAGTCTCTTCTCCAGGCTGGCCAAAACAAGTGCCTCAGCCACTCCTCACGTGGTTTCCCCTCAAGGCCCTTCACCATCTTCGTGTCCCTCCTTTGGATTCTCTCTAGTAGCTTAGTATCTTTCTTATATTATGGTGCCCCAAACTGCACATGATACTCAAGGTGAGGCCACCCCAGTGCAAAGCAGAGCAGGACAATCCCCTCCCTCTCCCTCTGGCAGTGCCTTGCCTGATGTCCCCCAGGACGTGATGTCCCTCCTGGCTGCCAGGGCACATTGTTGGCTCATACTCAACTTGCCACTGACCAGGACCCCCGGGGCTCTTTCCATGGCACTACTTTCCAGCATCTTGTTCCCTGGAATGATTTAAGTGATTGAAAGAATTCCTGTTGTGTGACTTCAGGTGAGCTGTTTGCTGAGATAGTGACAGATTTGGTTTTTCCTTGCAGTTTTGGAGAGCTGGCTGGATTACACAGGAGAGCTGGAACCCCCAGAACCACTGGCTCGACTGCCCCAGCTCAAACACTGTATAAAGCAGCTGATCACAGACCTGGGCAAGGTGCAGCAGATCGCGCTGTGCTGCTCCACGTGAGGCCGCAGGGCACTGGGGACTGTCACGGGGTGTGAAGCTGGAGCAGCTCTGGGGCTGGAAATGACATTAGCATGCTGCTTGCATGGGATGCAGATTGACTTCAGGGACTTGTGAAGAAGAGTTGTTCAAAGAACATCCAGAAGGTTATTTCGGGTTCATTCTAAGGCTGTGGAAGAGGTTATGCTGTTGTAAGAGGTTATCCTGTTGTCTCCAGAGTTGGGTGTTGGTTGGTAAATTACACTTCAATTTTCACTCCTTACCAGTTGCTCATGGAAACGGTCGACTTGTGCATCATTAAATTGACTAAAAATTGTGCCACTGAAGAACAGAGTTCTAAGAGCCAAAAATGTTTGGTTGACAAAGGTTGTAAATAACTTTGCCTAGTTTAAGTGACTCGTGTCATGTTTTATTCCTTCTGGTTTATGCATACTAGCACTCAGTATTTAATCATTAGGAAATGTTAACAGTTTCAGACTTAGTAAGTATGAATGTCCAGCTCTTAACTATGAAGTGTTACGTGGAGGTTTGCAAGTAACAGTGGCCTGACCCCACGTCTGTTACAGTAACTGCATAGCAGGTCACAGGTGGATTGCACTTCTCTTCAGAATAAATGATTGTTTTCCATATTTATCCAGTCACTCTCAGATGACTCGGTACTGGGGCAGCCCGTGGTGTTCCTGTGCACTGCTGAGCTCTGGCCAGGCTGTGCCTCCTGCAGCAGAGCGGGTGGGCCGGGCCCGGAGCGCAGTGCAGGCTGCAGCATGGCCTGGCATGGATGTGATGTACTTTCTACCCATTGTTAATAATTGCCATTCCGGTTACCTTTGGAAACGTAGACTTTTTCAATGCTCTGGATGTGCTCATTGTAAAGACTTGCTATGAATGTGTGGTTTTGGGAATCAGTTTATTTTATACCTGTGTAAATAAAGCCTCGAGATCTATGCATGAGGTGCTGTCCCTGGAGACAGTGAGTGGGTTATTATCTTAAATGGTCTGTGTTCACAAACTCCCCTTTTATACCTTCGGTTTGAATTCTCTGGTTTGTACTCACTTTGTGAGGGCAAGGTGACAGTGCTGCTGCTGGTCAGTCACGTTACGCCGACCCGGGGACGTCCCGAGTGTCGGAGAGGGTCAGAGTGTTTCAGCTGCAATCACTGCTCCTGAAACAATAGCCATGACTTTAGTTTTCCTTCCCAAATGTTCCGGAGTTGGGCTCCCTGGGGAGTGTGGTAAGCTGGTTTTGCAGGGAGAGGGTGTCCTTGAAGGAGTGGATTTGTTACCTGGATTTTGTTGTGTGCAATGTAATACCAAAGGGTAACATTCAGGCACAGCTGGAATGGAAAGACCCATCCATACCTGTACAAGTTAGTCATTTTGGGACATGGCTCTGTCGTGTGTGTATTCTGCAAAGAACAATGTAAACGTGAAATATCCAATATTATTGTAAGAGTTACAGTATCTACACAGTGAATACTTTTATTTCCTTCAGAAAACAAAATGATTAGTCAGCTCTAGGTAGTCACTAAGGCTTTTGTGCCAAGATTCAGTTCAGGGAATAATTTGTCTCTCAAGTTTTATAGTACTAGTTGGTATGTAGTGAATACAGCATATGTACAGCAGAAAAATAAACTTGTTTTTCTGTAACACAGTTGGAATAACGTGGACATGGTATTTCAGGATCACTTGGCTCTCTGAAGATGAGACCAGTGCTTGTACCTTGGCTCATTCCTGTCAGACACCCGAGGTCATGTGTCGCACTAGAGCAGGCAGCAGTGACCAGACAACCAGAACAGCTTCAGAGGAGCCCCCAGACAGCTGGGAAGGTTTTGTGGGGTTTTTCAGGTGAGGTGGACCAGAGAGGTGTTCCCTGGTTGCGCTCCCTAAAGCCAGCGGTGCTGCCACACGTCCCTGCAGGGCACAGCTGCGCTGGTTGTGCTCCCACAGCCCGAGGGCGTTGGGCACGCAGTCCTGAGCAGGCTTCTTGCTCCAAAGGGGAACTTCTCCTTCCCAAGCAGTGGCTTTTGTGTGCTCATTGTATGTTTTGACTTGTCAGTTTATTTTTGCTCAGGGCAGTACTGCAGGTTTGGAAGAAAAGGCAGTTCCCGTGGGTGGATCGAGTGGCAGATCCTGTAGGCTTGTTTCCCTTCAGTAGTGCTGGGGAATTCCTTGCAGATAAAAACTGAAAATATTTATTTAAAATAGAATAGCACCTCTTGTGTTCAGGAAAGATTCTTCATTGTGCTCTGCCTGGATTCATTTTCGTCCCGGTTTTTGCAAGTTTCCACATTGTTATTTCTTGGTCTGGACCAACCGTTCAGGCTGGCAGGTCACTTTTTGTTTCTTGAAATCACTGGTAAGTGAATGCGACGTGGAGCCTTGATGAACTGAGCAAACATTGCACTGTGGGTACATACATGTGTTTGTCTTTGTTGATGCACTATTAGAACCAAGGGGCTGTACATAGAATTTTGCTTTGGAGCAATATTTGCAAAACTTGAAAACTTCTGTATCTTGGTGTTTGGAATAAATAAATAGGTTTTTGTTGGTTAAGTCTTAGTAAAGTCTTTGTTTCAATTAATAAAATAATTTTGGACTTTTTTCCCCTTTATATCACATTGAAATGCAGTTACAGTATTCTGACAGGAATATAGATCTTAACTCTTCCTAGAGTCTGGGAATTACTGTTTTCCAGATCTGTGTCATATAAATACCTTTGTTAGGCAAACCATTATGTATTGGTTTGTGTTGGATATTGTTTAGTGAGCTCATTCATTTTATTCCAGTATCTTAATATATGTAATATAGTACCTACTCTGTATAATCCAAACCTAATTTCTGTTTCTGCTTGGAGGAGCAGCCTGGCAGGGGCTCTGGTGATTTGAACGATCCATACAGAGAAAACTTTCATGAGCATGGGAAGGGCAGGGAGCTGTGGAGTGCTGGGGAAGCAGTCATGGTCTGAAGGGAGTCTGAAGATGGGGAGAGACATCCATGTGCCTTTCTGGCTCCATCCCTTCCTGGCTCAGTTTCCCCAGTAGGAGGAAAACAGGTGTATTCCCTTGTCCTAACAAATTTTCCTTTCTAATTTCATTCTCAAAGATTCCTGTAAAACTGGGTTTTAAGGCTGGAGTTTGCATCACTGCTGGAGCCTAACTTGTGAAGCCTGGAGAGACTTGTGCCACTGATGGCAGGTGGGTATAAATCAGAAGAGGGGAATTGAGATTAGACATGAGGGAGAAGTTTTCCCTGTGAGGGTGGTGAGACACTGTCCCAGGTTGCCCAGGGAGGCTGTGGCTGCCCAGCCCTGGCAGTGTTCACAGCCAGGTTGGCTAAAGCCTTGAGCAACCTGCTCTGGTGGGAGGTGTCCCTGCCCAGGGCAGGGGTTGGGGCTGGATCAGCTTTGAGCTCCATCCCCAATCCCTTCACATGGTATGAAACTGTCCTGACATGTCTCATGGCTCAGTGTGATTATTCAGGTGTTTGCTGGTCCCTTAAATGTCAAAACTGGGTTTTGAAGCCTGGTCTGAATTTGAAATAGTTTGACACTGTGTGCTGTGGCTTGCAGTGTTCTGGGGAATGTGTGCCCTCTGAGTTTCCTTGCCTGCTCTGAAGGTTCCTGTAGATGCAGACTCACAGCAGGAGGCAGCTGCTCACTCAGCTCTCGGCCTCCATGTGGGCAGAGTCACCTTGAAATTCCTCAACCGAAGAAATCAGACACAACCATTTTACTATTCTCACTATTATTTGACTAAAACATCACCTATGATTACATAATCTGCTTGTCCAGCCCATGGGCTGTGCTCATGTCCATCCCCACAGCAGTGCAGCATCCCATCCCCCCTGCCGCTGCGCTGGTACTGGTGCTCCATCCAGCTGGGAGTGCTTGGGGTTGGTCCCTGCTCTGGTTTCCCAGGGGAATTCTTGAGCATCTCAGGCCATTGCAGTTGTTCACCAGAGTGTTTCATGCCTTTGTGCTAATCAGCTTGTGCAGCAGCTTTTGGGAAGGAACTGTGTACAGCTCTTGTCTGAGTTACAGCTGTGGCAGGTACCCAGAACAAGGTCCTGCTCAAACAGGCACAGTTAAACACCCTGTTTTTTCCTATTAGAACACAGATGCACACAGGATAACTGAGAACAAACCAGCGAAACTGGGATTTGTCCCGTCCTGCTCTGGGGGTGTTAGGGCAGGAAAGGCTGACCAGGGCCATGGAGCCTTGTGCTCCATACCTGGTCCTGAGGGGCTGCATGGGCCTCGTTTCCCATCGTGGGAGGAGAAGCTGTGTGTACCTCCTGGGCTTCCAGACTGGTGGCTTTAAGTGCTGAAGCTTGAGTCCAGGCATGGCAAGGGATGCCAGGGAAGGACCTGCTTCTGAAGGCTGCAGAAATGTGGTTTCTGTGCCCTTGTGTGTCCCTCGGGGTGACAGTTGAGGGGATGCTGCCCTGAGTCTGGGCTCCGAGCACATCCATGTCCTCCACAGCCCAGAGCTGCTGGAAACATTCTGCCTGCTTTGCAGCTCCTCTCAGTCCCTTCAGAAGTCCCTTTGACCACAGCCAGTGCTGGGCAGTTGTTCCACTGTGGGAGGCAGGACTGAGGCTGGGGGTGCCCCTGACTCCCCTCACAGCAGTGTCTGCCTGGGCTGCCACTGTCCCAGGTCTGGGACCTGTGGAGATGTTTCCCAGCACATGTCCAGTCAAGGAGCTTTTGAGGTAGGGAAGGTGGAGGGCTTGGAGGCTGCCAGCAATGGAGGCTCCAGCCACATTTGTCCCATCTTCCCTGGCTCCAGGCTATAAATACCAGAGCAGCAGACTCTTGACTGTGGCAATAGAACCATCCCTGTGTGTAAATGCATCCAACAACCTGAGTGCAGGTTGGAGATGGAGGAAGGAACCCAAGAGCCCCCTTGGTTCACATGACATGGGTCAAAGGCAAAAATAAGGGATGCAGAAACCCTCTGAGCTGCCTTGGGGGCCCCAAGGGTGACAGCAGTGGGGCAAGGCTGAGGCTTAGGAACAAACCCTGACCTCTGCCCTGTGCTGAAGCCTCCTGGGCTGGAGGCTGGGGCTGAGCAGGTCTGTAAAGCTCCAGGCAGAGAAGGAAATGAGAAAGTGATGGTGGGTTTCAAGAGCAAACTCATCAGACAGGAAAATGAGGAGGGGATTGGAGCGTGTCCGAGCGGG